ATTTCTGTGTTGGGGAAGTACTATTGAAATATTAATTGTAATGAGTGTTAGGAATCTCAAAACCACTGAGCCTGGGTATACTTAAGCACATCATGACAAAAGCTATGCCAAGACTCACATGCCCTGGTATTCTAAAACATTTAAGTTGAATAGTTACCTGAAAATTTGAAGGGATTCTGGGAGATGATAAAGTACATGCACACAGTCTCAATGGTTCCAGTGCATGAAAATGGTTAGTAACTTCAAGGGAGTAAACAGAATATTGAATTTGGACAAATTTACATCGAGGTCTGTCAGATATCTAGAATGAGTCATCAAGTAATGTTAAAAAAAAATGTGGGTCGTCCTCAAGGAAGAACAAAGTATGTTGTGCCTGAATCAAACAGACATGTTTGACTTCTGTTTTAAAATATTATAAGATTATGTTCCATGGACTGCAAATCTCTATAGATCTCTGGAATTAGATATGGTGATAATAGTTATGTTGCAAAATTGGATGAGACAAAGTAATTAAGGGTGGAGACTGATGGCAGAAGACAAAAAAAAATTAGAATAATGGGTTGAAGTGGCAATTCATGGTAAAATGTTACAGGAGAGAAAAGGAGGTTTAGATGAGAGCACGAAACTGATAGCTTTCTCTGGGTGATGTTTGTGACCTTGTCTTTCCTTTTAAGAGAACCAATTTGGTGATCAAGCCACTACCCGAGGCATCGGGACCATACATGGAGAGATAAGTAAAACCTCATAGATCATTTGATAACATCATGTGGGAGTCAAGAATGCGTGACATGGTCTTGGGATACCAATGTAAATGTGCAAAAGTGAACGTTACCTTGGAGGTAACAAACATGGAATGGTAAAAAACATGCACTGAAGAACGGGTCTCAGACATGTACACCTACTTGACGAAAGGATTAGTGTGGCTTGGAAGAACACAAAAACATAGTTTAAATAATAAGACACTGACACAAAATCCATAGAGAAACTGTCTTTAAAACAACGAAAGTAGTATTAGTGAAAGGGATGTAAAAAGAATTACAATCAAATAAAATATGTGATTGGCTATTATGGCAAAATGTTACAGAATTGAAAGAATATAGATTCTGGAAGGAGTAATGGTGGACTGAGTGAAAGGGCCCTCGGATGACATACAGATACCCCATCTTGAGCATTTGTATGTTTAAACCAGTAGGTGAAACTGTAGTTGTAAGGGCTACAGTTAGTGCGTGTGAAAAAAGGCTGAGCCAAGACTCAGGTGGTATAGGAGTCTGTGGATAGGGAACGGAGGGGGAAAGAAAACACATATTAAGGAACCTGAGTCTGGAATATACTGAATTTTAGAGCAAAGTATGTAAATAGATTAACTGAAAAAGAATGTAGATAATATTTTGGTCATCTCAATCAGGTGGCAGGACTTGCTGGAACCATCACACCCTTGATCGTACATCAGGGCTGGTATATACATACTTAAGGGTCAGTCCCCAAAGGTCTCTAAGATCATTAATTTGATGGTACACCCTATTGTTGTATTCTTTGTATTGATGCTAATTATTTTCATTGTAGTTTTAATCTTCTAGTGCAGGTTACCTACTCTTATTATACGTTATTGCGCAGCTATCACTTACTTGCATCTGCATTTACAATTGTAACATGCGCTGTCAAATATTATCGGGGTGGAATGTATAGGATGGGCCGGAGGGATAAAAGTTAATGATGATATTCGACAGCTGCATGAGAAGAAAGATTGTATAGGATGGGCTGAATGGCTAAAATTGTTGATGATACTCAACAAGCTGCATGACTTTGGACGAATCCTGTTAACATTCCTTTATGGGCCCCCCAAGACGGCACCTGCAACTTGTTTTTCTGTAACTGTGTTTTGTCTTCTGTATTTGCTTTCCTTGTGCTGGCTGTTTGTTACACTGTATAAGAGAGAGAAAGTTTAATTCCAAGGCGTGGGACTTTGCCTCGGCTTAGAATCATGTTCGGTGCCAGGAACAAACCTAAGCCTCCAGACCAGCCATTGATCGAGGGGCCCCCGACAGGCAGAAGGGTGTGAGACTTGTTGCTTTTCCTCTTTTCTTTTCCATTTATTATTACCACGATAATAATTTATTATTACTTCATAAACATTCAAATTGCTGTTAGACAAGCCTTCTCTTAATTATACTTACCCAAATCTGTAAAGAACCGCTTGGACACATGCTATGATTCAAGACATGGAGATGAGGTGGATGTAGCTGTTGCTGATGGAGCTTTCCCTGAGACATTGATGACTGGTGTCTAAGATGGAGATCTGGAGGAGCATGCGCATCCAGGAGTTGCTAGCTACCCATTTTATGTCAGGAATTTCCAGGATCTAGTTTCCATCTAGTGGGTGATAGAATGGGACTTGCATATTTATTAGTTGACTCTAGGTAACAATTAGGGTGTTAATGAGCGATAGAGATAGTAGGAACTGCAGATGCTATAGTCCCTGTTAATAGTCCTCTTGCCACTAATTAGTTAGATTTTCTCTTAGTGCACAAAACTCGGTTGGAAAACGTGACTTGTTACTCTTACAACTGAGAAAGATATTTCTTGATTTTTAATGCAATTCTGCCAAGTTTTCACTATAGCCCACACATTGGCAGGATTGATGGCGGTTGTGCTATCACTTTCAAGAGATCTGTGAAGTCAGTCATTTAATGCATACAGTCATCTTTCTCTTTGATCTTTTCCCCATCCTTTACCTCACAATGTTCCTTACCAAACCTCCTCCCCAATGATCACGTATGCGACTGGAAAGGTCCATTTTGTGTAGCTTCGGAGAACATATCCTTGAGACCAAGCTTTTAGGTGTGTGGATGCAGTCTGCTTTGGCTGGGATACATAAAACATGTAAGTGCACCTTCAATCACAAACTATACTCTCCCTTCAATCACTTGGTTCTGTCATGTCCTTCAGATAGAACCTGACTCCCTCCCCTTTGATACTTTAACAATACTTGGAGGACTTGCACTGCAATTCAATATAAATACCATTTAAAACTTAAAGAAGTTTGTATAGATAAAGGAGGCTCTGAGAAGTCTAGCAGGCTTAGAGGTAACTAAATCGCCACGGCCAGAGGGAAAGTATCCCAGGTTGATTGAAGCAAGTGAGGAAATAGCAGGGGTATTGGGAACAATTTTTCATTACTGTCTGGCACAGAAGAGCGAGAGAACCAGAGGACAGCCAATGTGGTACTATATTCAAGAAGGGAGAGAGAGATAAACTAGGAACCTACAGGCCAATCAGTCTAATCCCAGTGGTAGGGAAATGACTAGAAGCAATTCTGAGTAACAGATTTAATCTGCCCTTGGAGAGGCAGGGATTAATCAAGAACAGTGAACATGCTTTCGCTAAGGGGAGATCAAGTCTGACCACTGGATTGGATTTTTCGAAAAGATGGTCCAGTATGTGGATAAATGCCATGCATTCAACGTAGATGACTTGGACTTCGGCAAGGTTTTTGATAAGGTCTAGCATAGGAGACTGATAGTAAAGGTAAGAGCCTGTGGAATCCAAGGAAATTTGGCAAATTGCATTCAGAATTGGCAGAGTGTGAGGCAGTAAAGGGAGATGGTTGAGGCATATCGTGACTGCAAGCATCTGTTTATTGGGATTCTGCATGAATCAGTAATGGAGCTATTGCTATTTGTATTATATATAAATAATTAAGACTTCAATGTCAGACGGTTGATCAGTAATGATATTAAAATCAGTAGGATGTAGATAGTGAGGCGGATAGCCTTAGGTTACAGGTTATAGATATGCTGGTCAGATGGGCTGATCGGTGGCAAGTGGAATTCAATCTCGTTAAGTGTGAAATGATTCATTTAGGCAGGACAAACAAAGCAAGGGAATACGTGATGAATGTGAGGAACCTGAGATGCACCACGGATCAGATTGACTTTGGTGTGCATGTCCATCACAGTTAGAATATTGTAAGCAGTTCTGTAATCCACGTTATATGAAGGATGTGACTACACTGGAGAGGGTGCAGAGGAGACTTACCAGGATGTTGTCTGACTTAGAGAGTTTTATTTATAAAGAGAAATTGGATAGACTAGGGTTGTTTTCCTTGGAGCAGAGATGACTAAGGAAGGACATGTTTGTGACGTTTAAATTATGAAGGGCATGGACAGCGTAGACAGGAAGCACCTTTTCACTTTGGAGGAATCAGTGACCGGGGGCATAGATTTAAGGTAAGGGGCAGGAGGTTTAGAGGGGATATGAGGAATTTTTTTTTTCTCACCCAGAGAGTGGTGAGAATCTGGAACTTATTGCCTGTATGGGTGTAGAGGCAGAAAGCCTCAATGTTGAAGAAGTATTTATATGTGCACTTGAGATGCCAAGGCATACAGGGCTACGATCCAAGTGTTATAAAATGGGATTAGAATAGTTAGGTGGTTGTTTTGACTGGTACAGACTGGATGGGTGAAAGGGCCTTTTTCTGTATTGTAAACCTCATATATTACTAAACCATATAGCTATAAGGACAATGCAACAACTCCTTAGGCTAAAGTCCCGGAAGATAGGAAGGTCACCAAGTACATGCCTATTACATGTGATTGGGTATCTAAAGCAAAGGCCTTCTCATTTGATCCGAATTTAACTGGGAAGACTGACTTAATTCCAATGAGTTATGCTTTTGATTGAATGCTAATGCATGCAGATAAGTTTCTTGGCACCTGCAGGTGGATAGGTAGACCTGCATTTTAAGGTTTGAAAACTTAATTACAAAAGTTTATTTATTATGGTGAGAATCTGGTTTTATGAGTTTCACATGATTAACTTTACCTGCCCAGATTGCCCACTATTCTTCTTGCATCCTCTGAGTTTGGCAAATCTTTTTCGTAGAAACACTTGAAGTCAAATTCTGAGCACTCTTTGCTATTTAATTATATTTAGAAGCTTAGAATGATTGAATGGAGCTTTAAGCAATAAAGTAATCCTTTCTTTCCTTTTCTTGGGTTTAGACAACATTGTCCATACTGTGGTTTATACTGTTTTCCTTTATTATCCTTCGCTGCTATCTAAATTGGTTTGAAAAGCGACTGAAATTGTTATCAGCTGTCGATCCAATGGTCCTACCTGCTCGCACAGGTATGTAACTTGTCAATTTATTTACACAATAGATGTAGTAATGAAAACAGCGAGTGCACAGTGAGTCACGGAGATTATTTTGCACTCTGCCCTTTTGATTTTCACCTTAGAGTCTCACAGTCATTTGCTGCTGACTTCTTGGTCTTCTGCCAGCCTGGTGTTGATCACCACCCACTTCCTGCTCCTAACCCAGAGCCATGTATGAATGAGGTGAAGTTATTGATGCCTGCTGGTAGAAATGTGTGTGTGTTACTAATACATAAAATTTCTCACATTGTGCACAGACATATTTGTGAGTACACTTTCGTGCTGTCATTGTAAGAGCTTTTAAATGCTATAGACACACTTTCAGCATGTTTGACATTATGCACTTGAAAAATAAAGATCATATTTCATGGACAGAAACAGATATGTCCTGACACAGCTGGTTGTAGCTGCACCTAGCATGTTACATTTTCTGCTGAGGGGGGCAAGAGATTACTTACATCCATGCGACATAGAGGTCTACCTTTTCATGAGGCAAAACGCTTCGAATGGTACAGATCACCAGTGTTAAAACTAAGTGAATAAGCATCCAATTCAAAGAATCTGTACAATGCCTAAAAGCAGAGAGTAGCATAAAAGGCTAATCTTATCAAAAGTTTAAACAACTTTAAAAATACTTTTATAAAGGCAAGTTACTGCAGAAATTAGAAAAGATCAATCCTCTCCTTTCACACCTTAATTTACACTCTTTTTATTTCTTTTTTTCTCCTTTTTGACAACCCCTTTGTGCTTTCCATGTGGCCTCAGTACAAAATCTGCAGTATTGTTCCTTCTCTGCCTATACCAAATGGATAAAAAGAGCCTATTTCCTTACACCTTTCAGTTCTGAAGAAGATTCATATCAGACTTGAAATATTAACTCTGTTTCTCTCTCCAATGTGCTGCAGACCTGCTTAGTTTCTATGGCATTCTCTACCAAGTGCCCAGTCGATCCAGTAGCCAGTCCCTAATTTGCTGTAAATGAGTGCTATGATGTAATTATGATATAGCTTAATACAAGCTTTTCAGGCTTAGAGCATGTTTCTATTGCTTCCAAGGTTGATGTGGCTCAGGAACATTTTTTAAAATCTTGGTTTCTTTCATTTTGATGAACTCAGCATTTATCTATTCCATTAGCATTCAATGGCTGAATTCCAGAACCACAGTATGCCGTGGAATCCTTGGTTATTTTCTTGCCGATTACTTTTAATTTAAAATGGTTTGTTTCTTTGAAGTAGAATTTACATTTCTGCTCCCCTTCAATCTCTAGACTTCCAAATTCACACTGTCAATTTCCATCTCTTCTACAATCAAAAATGGAATGGAGTGGAGCAGAAAATGTCACAGTAAATCATAGAATCGTTTAACACAGAAGGAGGCCATTTGACGCACTGTGCCTCTACCAGCTCTTTGAAAGAGCTATCCATTAGTCCCATTCCCCTGCTATTTCCGCATAGTACACAAATGATTTCCCCTTAAGTATTTGCTCAAGTTCCTTTTGTAAATTACAATGGAATCTACTTCTATCACCTTTCACCAGTATTCTTCAGATCATAAGGGTGGCCTAGTGGTTAGCACTGCTGCCTCACAGCGCCAGGGACTTGGGTTTGATTACAGCCTTGGGTGACTCTGTGTGGAGTTTGCACATTCTCCCCATGTCTGCATGGGTTTCCTCTGGGTGTTCTGGTTTCCTCCCACAGTCCAGAGATGTGCAGGTTAAGAGGATTGGCCATGCTAAATTGTCTATAGAGTCCAGAGATGTGCAGGTTAACTGGATTAGCCATGGGAAATGCAGGGTCACAGGGATGGGTGGGCTGCTCTTCAGAGAATTGGTGTGGACTCAAAGGGCTGAATGGCCTGCTTCCATGCTGTAGGGATTCTTTGATTATGTGATAAAAATTCACTTCATAAAAACATTTTACCTGTCTGTCCTCAACTTCTTTTGACAATTGACCTAAATCCTGTGTGCTGTGGGTACTGACTTTCTTGACAATGAGAATGTTTTCTCATTTACTCTGTTAGTGCCCTGCATAATGTTGACCACTTTTAGCTTTCTCAGTTTTGAGGAGAGCAATCCTATGTCCCAAATTTCTCATGTAACTGAATTACTTCACCATTGGTAGCATCCTAATAAGTCTCCACTCTGTCTAACACCTTGTAATGCTTCCTAAAATGTCATGTTCCAAATTGGATACTCCAGTTGAGGCATAACCAGTGATTTATAAACATTAACATTATCTTGTTTTGTACCCTTTGGGGGTACTTTTAATGGAACAGGAGAGAAGTTTCAATGTATGCATGAAGTTGAGTGATTGTCAGACCTGTGGATCTTGCAGGCAAAAGAAAGTGTCAGTAATTAATTGATGCACGCAAATAAGAAATTAGCTGCTGTTTTAGCCAACCATTCTGGCTTTAAAAGCAAAAACATCTATGTTCAGAAACAAAATCAGGAATTACTGGAAAAAATCAGCAGGTTTAGCAGCATCTGTGAAGAGAAAGCAGAGTTAACATTTCAGGTCCAGTGATCCTCCGTCAGAATATCTATAGACATCTGGGCATCTATGTCCACAACTGCCAGCAATTCACCAAGTCCAGCCAAGCGAGTGCACAATATGGAGTACTTCTTGAGTGAAACTGACAGGCTAAGAAAGCTTTGAACAGCGAACCTAAGGAACATAACTTGTAGCTTAGTGAGATGCTGGTGCTCAGGCCATTCTTGAAAGTGTGTTTTCACTGCTTGACAGGTGAAGCTCAGTTCCTCTGCTTTACTCTTTGTTCATCTTGAAATACATTTGCCTGCTGTCAGCCTTCACTGCCACAGGGGAGCACCTCACATGGTTTTACCTTGCATCTCTGATAAAAGCAGGTGCGCCAACTGTAGCAACTTCAGTTGCAACCCCAACAGTGTCACAGCTGCCTTCTCCTCTCCTGCATGCAATTCTTCAGGAGACAGTGAATGGAGATCAAGATCAGCTCCAGATGGCTGAGACCCCAACACGTACTTCATGTATATTAGATTAATTTTAAAAAAACTCCCAACAACCAGGTTTCTTTAATAACCAACAAAATATTTGCTTTATTGTGAAAACGGAACTTAATCAGCAAAAATGTATACTGATTAATACACAGTTTGAAATGGGAAAATATAAATATTTCGCCTTCTACCTAACTTTAACACATTAATTAAAAGAATAAAGAACTTTTTCTGCAGAGGTTAATTTAAAAATGAACACTTTGGTAAATAATTGTTAGTTCTTGAAAGAAAAAGAAAGGATAAGGATGGAAGATTCAAGATAGCTTTCAGTCAATGACCTTGTACGCATAAATAAGTGAAACTAAACAAAAGCATTTGTCACTGGGACCCTTAAACGCAGTTTGTTCAAGAAATGTCACAAATTCATAGGCTTTTTGGGAGAGTAGCTGCATCAGTTTTCTAGGTCTCACATTGAACCCTCCAAAAGGCTATTCTCAGAAAGGCAGAAAATGAGTTGGGTAACCTCTCTCTCAGCAGGCTGTATCCCACCAACTGAACTCCAAACAATATCTAAAGCAAATCCAAGATCCCAGACATGTGACTTCCAGTAAACAAGTCCAAACAATTAAGTCAAAACATGTGAAACGCAAGAATTGTCTTTAGTAAAAAAAAAATCCCAATGTCCTTTTCGCCACCCTTTTTAAATAAACAGCCCTGGTATTTTTCAGCACTCCAAATTAACTATTGCCCCACATCCCTTTAACACGAATTCTCAAAATAATTAACAGTTTTCACCCAACTGGAAGAGTGCTTCTTCCTTCATTTTAGTGCTTTGTAGGATGAAACGAAATGCCATACATCGTTTCCACTTCATGTTCAGAGTTTAAATTATCCGCTTTGTGGATGGCCTGTTCTTGACTTTCTTACAGGGCTGTTTCTTGGTATTGATCAAATTATCAGTCGGAGTTGCTGACGAGGAAAGAGAAAACTTTGAAACTTTACTGAATTAATCACAAGTCATTCACAGGTACCTCCCAACAACTGGCTATGGAACAAATATGAAAAATTATACATAAAACTTGCTTTAAATGGAGAAAATGCGATACTAATTCCAGTTACAAACTGGGTTACCTAATTTTACTAATTTTTAGTGTACTAATGATGCGTTATTAATTGAGTGAAGTGTGTTTTTCAGTTTTAATTATCATAGCATTTTAATATTAAAATATTTTTACATCACTGAACTCATTCCAGGGGATCCTGATGCTCTTGACATGCACAGTGCAAATGATATGCAACATTCGCCCTCCTCCTCAAGTACTTCACTTCATTCATCATCCAGCATGATCCACAGTAGACATCATGGCAGCATCCGGAATCCAAATGTGTTCCTGAAGCCTCACTGAAGTAGGTTTTATTCCGTTGGTGATAGCAAGAATTGCAGATGCTGGAGTCAGAATCAATACAGTGTGGAGCTAGAGGAACACAGCAAGTCAGACAGTATCAGAGGAACAGGACAGTCGATGTTTCAGGTTTACACCCTTCTTCAGGAATGGGGAGGGAAAAGAGAGCTCATAAATAAAAAGAGGGAGGGGGTTGGGCCTGGGGGAGGGTAGGTGGGATGGTGATAGGTGGATGCAGGTAGGGGATTATGGAGATAGGTCATGGGATGGGTGGGGCATGTAGATGAGAAAGAAGATGGACAAGTTGTATCAGGTCAAGGAGGCAGGGATGAGAGGGATTGTGGGATGAGGCTGGGGGCTGGGGAGATTTTTAAACTGGTGAATTCTATGATGAGGCCATCGGGCTGTAAGCTCCCGTGGCGGAATATGAGGTGTTGTTCCTCCAGGTTACGTGTGGCGTTGTTATGACACTGGAGGAGGCCCAGGATGGACATGTCACCAAGGGAGTGGGAGGGGGCGTTAAAATGGTTGGCAACAAGAAGGTGCTGTTGATTATAGCATACAGAGCAGAGATGTTCAGCAAATCGCTCACTGAGTCTGCGCTTGGTCTCACTGATGTAGAGGAGACCACATTGGGAGCAATGGATATAGTAGACCAGGTTGGAGGATGTACAGGTGATTGCTGTCGGATTTGGAAAGATTGTCTGGGATCTTGGATGGAGGTGAGAGGGGAGGTGTAGGGGCAGGTGTAGCACCTCCAGCGGTTGCATGGAAAGGTGCCAGGGATGTTGGGGTTGGTAGGGAGTGTGGAACGAATGAGGGAGTCGCGGAGTGAGCGGCCCCTACAAAAGGCAGATAGGGGTGGGGGGAAGGAAATATCTCTTTATGGTGGGGATGGATCGCAGGCAGAAGTGGCAGAGGATGATGTGCTGGATGCGGAGGTTGTGGGGTGGTCTACTGTATCCGTTGCTCCCAATGTGGTCTCCTATACATCGGTGAGACCAAGCGCAGGCTCAGTGACTTGAGTCGCCGAACATTTGCGGTCTGTACGCTGTAATCAATAGCACCTTCCAGTTGCCAACCATTTTGACTCCCCCTCCCACTCCCTTGGTAACATGTCCATCCTGGGCCTCCTCCAGTGTCACAATGATGCCACATGTTATCTGGAAGGACAACACCTCATATTCCACCTACAGAGCTTACAGCCCAATGGCCTCAACATAGAATTCGCCAGTTTCAAAATCTCCCCATACCCGGCCTCATCTCATGTCCAACCTTCCCTCTCATCCCCACTTTCTTGTCCTGACACAACCTGTCCGTCTTCTTTCTCACCTGCCTGTCCCACCCTTCCCATGACCTATCTCCACAACCTCTATCTGCATCCACCTATCACCATCCCACCTACATTCCCCCAGGCCCACACTCCTCCCTGTATTTATTTCCGAGCTCCCTTCCCCCTCCCCATTCCTGATGAAGGGTGTAAACCCGAAACATTGACTTCCCTGCTCCTCTGATGCTGCCTGACCTGCTGTGTTCCTCCAGCTCCACACTGTATTGACTTTATTCCGTTGGTTGCAGTTCCTCACTGTTGTAGTTCCAATTTTAGGATTAGAGGTACAACTGAGTTAGGAGAAGTAATTCGATTCATTTCCTTGTCCCACTCCTCCACTAGTCAAACAAAGTTTGAATTTATATAGGGAGATAATATAGCCAATTTTATATATATTTATAATATATATTAAATTATACGTAGCTCAGTATCAGAAACACATCAACTATGCATTATAAGTGACAAATAAAGGACTAGTTTATTGAAAACCTAATTTATTCTACATAGTAGAGATATAAAAATTATTAATAACAAGTTTAAACTGTCCAAGTATATACAACTACTCTTCTAGAAAAATAACACACAAACACAGCATTCCAATCTGGGTAAAATATAAAACATTATTTGTTAAAAATATTTTGGCCAAGTGATTGTTAAATTCAGAAAAAAAAAGGAATTATTCACAGATTGTCCAAATGTTGGTCTATAGGCAAAATGTCTTTGCCCACAATCTTTCAACACGGAGCCGTCTTCCTGGACCAGTTTTGGTTTGCTTTTCTAGTGACGGCGGTTTAGATTTAAAATTTCCCTTTATCACAACTCCATTGTGGCGATAAGGTCTTTCAGTGGGTTTTCAATTCACAAAATATTAAAAACCCACAAACTGAGTCATGTGCCCTCTCTCTTAAAGTATTGTACATTCAGTGACTTTAATCAAACAGCTTGGATTCTTTGCAAATGAAACATTTATTCTTTTTCAACTAGTCTCCTTTCCTTTCTGAACTATACATTCCATAATCTGGTATGTGTACAATCAATCTACACCGAACAGCTGAAGCCATTAACTCTATTATGATTGTTACTAGCATTTAGTGTGAAATCAGTTTAGTAATTCTCAGTTGAATGCCTAGTGGAAATCATGCATAGTGTACTGTTACCTTAAGTGTGACATTTAGACTCATCAACATCTGATAGAACTTAAGATGGCCATTTTGTGACACCTGGGGAATTCGATTTCTCTTAGAGAAGTGGCTAAAGTAGTGACCTGGAGAATGTCTTATACCTGTGAGGCATTTGATAGAGTTCCTTGTGAGAGTCAGCTAGCTAAAGTTGAAGTTGATGGAATTGAAGGCACAATGTTGACCTGTTTAGGAAACTGGTTTAATAGCAGGAGACAGTAGGCATAATGGGCAGGTCCTCGAATTGGCACAATGTGACTGAAAGCGTCCTGCAAGGCCATATGTTGAGACCTAAATAATTCACTATATTTATCAACAATTTCAAAGTCAAATATGACACAAAGATAAGCAGTATTGCAGGCAATGTAAATGAAAGCATAAAATTACAAAGATATTTTCATAGATTATATGAATTGTTAAAACTGTATTTAATGTGAAGTAATCCACTTTGAATAATCCACTTTAAGGGATGGATCTGGGTAATATTTAAATAACGAGAAGATAGAAACTGCAGCGATTCAAAGAGATTTGAGAGTCTAGGTACAGAGGCCATTAAAATAATGTAACTGGTGCAGAAAATAATCAAAAGGCTAATGGAATTATGGCCTTTATATCTATAGGCATAGAATACAAGGGGGTATATATCATGCCTCAAATATTTGAATTATTCGTTGGACTACAGAAGTATTGTGAATGGTTCTGGTCTGTAGGTTGGTGACCATAAGCGTGAAAGTGACTGATGGTGTTTCTTCTTCAGAACTGTCTTAATGCTATTGTACCTCTTGCTACTCTGCCATTATATGGATAATTAAATACAGAAGTATACGAGGGTGGGGTTGTGTTGGGACAAAGGAGACAAGGCTCAGCATAAGCTGCAGTTTACACCATTTGCAGTTTATCAAATGTAATGAATGTAAGTTGAGAGAGAAGCAGGATGTCGAACGGAGGTTTAAAGCTTGAGCATACCATCACTTTTAATGTTTCATTCCCACTGCTGGTCACCTCAGTCATGGTTGCTCCAATCATTGTTATCATCATATGCTCTGTTGGGACTTCATTGCAGCTATGTCCATCCAGTTGGGCACTGTTCTATCTGTTTCTCTGACATCTTATTCTGCAAGAGTAAGGAAAATGTTCAGAATCAGTTTGGCTAGAGCTAATTGCAGCAAGAGAAAGCAAATGTTGGTGGGAATTGGTTATGGACGATCAAACTATTGTTGGCCATGCTGTACAGTAGGAAATTAAAGATGCATGTAACTTAGGTAATGTAGCAATAATGAGCAACCTGAATTTGCTTAAATACTGGATTAACCAAGGCACCACTAATAGAGGGTGAATTCCTGGAGTGTGTACAAAATGATTTCTGAAATAGCATGTTGAGGAACTAGGTGGGGATTTGGTGCTGTAAAATAAGAAAAGGTTAGTTAAAAATTTGCTGCAAATGAATCTTTGGGAAATCATACTAATAATGTGATAGAATTTTACATGACGTTTGAATGACTGAAATTTATTCTGAAGTAGTGTCTTAAATCTGAACAAAGGCAACTATGTGGTATGAAGGACAAATTTGTTATGGGTGGAGAAAATACACAAAAATTTGATAGTAGATAGGCAATAGCTAGTATTTAAAGGAACTTTAAGGCTTGACCACTCCAGTGGGGAAACTTGATTTACTCATGGTTACCAAAATAAGTTAAGGATTGCAGTACCTTTTAAGAATGCCTAAAGTGGTATTAAGCCTGAAGATTAGACAATTTAGGATCCAGCAAAGGAGACCAAGAAGTCAAGAACTGATAAGGAAAGAGAAAAGAAAATATGAATGCAAGCTCAAAAGAAACATAAAGGTAGACTGTAAAAGCTTATATCAATCTGTAAACAGGAAAAGAGTAGCTAGGTCAAAATTGGGCCCATTATAGACAGGTACATGTGAAATTACAGTGGAGAACAGGGAAATAATGAAGAAACCAAAGTTACTTTGTGTCTGCCTTCATAAAAGGAGATGAAGAAAATCTTCCAGAAACATTAGGTGACCAAGGAATTTGTGTGCCTGAGGAGTTTAAAAAAAGCATTAGTAAAGAGGTAGTACTTGAAAGAAATAATTAAAGATTGATAAATCTCCTGAATGAGATGAGCTTCGTCACAGAACTATGAAGGAGGTTTCAGTAAAGATAGTGGCTGCCGCGGTATTTATCTTTCCTAATTCCGTTGATTTTTGAAAGATTTCTGCTGACTGCAAGGTAGCCAATGTAACCATTATTTAAAAGGAGTGTAATATGGATAATGGAGAACTACAGAACTGTTAGCTTAATGTCAGTAAAATGTTAGAATCTGTTGTAAAGGATGCCATAATAGAATACTTAGACAAGCATGGTTAAGTTACACAGAGTTAACATGAACCCGTGAAAGGAAAGTAATGTTTGAGAAACTCATTAGAGTCCTTGAGCATGTTACTTTTGGTGCAGACAAAGGAGAAAGAGTAAATATAGTGCATTTGG